AGGGGCCAGCATGGTGGTGCAAGTGGTTAAGTGCTCACGCTCCGCTTCGGCGGCCCCGGGGTTCACAGGTTTGGATCCCGGGTGTGCACTGACGCATCGCTTGTCAAGCCATGCTGTAGTGGCGTCCCATATAAAGTAAAGTAAGATGGGCACAGATGTTAGCCCAGAGCCACTCTTCCTCAGCAAAAAAGAGGAGGATTGGCATCAGATGTTAGCTCAGGGCTAGTCCTCCTCACAAAAAAAAAAAAAAACAAAACGAAACCACAAAGCAAAAGATAAATAGATTTAACTATATAAAAAGGGAACACTTCCATATGTCAAGATAATACTCTAAAAATGAAATAGTTGGAAAAATAGCAAATAAAATACTGGAGAAAATATTTCAACACATATGATAGCAAAGGGGAAATTGCCTTATATTAGAAAAAACTTATAAACTATTAATAAAACACATAATAGTCCAATAGAAAAATAAGCAAAGGACATAGAAAATTCATAAAAGCAATACAATAAAAATAGATGTGAAAAATTTTTCACCTCACTAATACTCAAAGAATACAAATTAAAATAATAATACAGTTCTTCATTATGAAGTTGACAAAGACTTAAAAATATTGCTGCTCTGTGTTTTCCCCAAAGCTCCTTTTGCCAGATCTGTCCATGTCCCAAAATAAATGTGATCATTAGAGAGTTATCATTAGAGAGAAATTGTGGTGGGTCAAGTGGTGGCCAGTTCAGCCCTCAGGACTTTTCACACAAGGCAAGCTCTGAATCTGGACATGAAGTATCATAATGTGGTCTGTTCCAACAGGGACATTAAGATATTTTTAAGTCTTAGTACCTGGGAGTTACTTAAGTATTCTGTCTTGGGTGGAATTGATTCCCTAGAGGGCAATTTTTATTGATTTGTGATCACATGAGGCATTGGGCAGATTCTCTCCTTTGAGCATGGGAGTGCTCTTCTCCTTTGACCTATCCAGAAGGGGGACTATTATTGTCTTGGGTGTGAATGGTCAGTCTTTCTCCCAGAAAGGTGAGAAACCAGGGAGCATGACATGGAAGGGACCTGCAGCTGGAGATTTTTTGGAGGAAAAAATAGCCCGATAATCCCACCACTTCCTCTTGTAGCACAATCTCTTTGTGTGGCATTTTAGTGGCTTGAAGAAGCTACTTTGCTGGTGACCATATAGACAACAGGCTCCAAAAGTGAAGTGGGAGGGAGGAAATGGAAGAGAATAATGAAATTTTAGAGTTTCACAGGAAGCAGTAGTCTTTTACTTCAACCTCCCACTGAGTGAGGAATCTTAGAGCACCTCGGCTTACTCTGATTAATAGGCTACCTCCTGAGAAAGCCTATTCTGTCCTGGTCAGACCAGGCAAATTTTAAATTGCACTCCCTGGTTTTCTGTCATTTTAGAGGATTCTGGGCCAAATCTGTTTTCTTTCACTCATCAGTCCTTTGAATATCTGAAGAAAATCCTTGTGACTTACCCTATTTTTCTTCTCTGAATTAAATCTCCCTGTTTCCTTCAGCCATCCTTGAAGAACAGGTATTCCAGACACAGAATACCTGTTCTCTTGTACACATTGCCATTCTCCTATCCTATAGTGTACAGGGCACCCACCTTTTGTCTGGTTCTTAGAATTAGAACTATCTCTTATTATATAAAGAGTTGAGACTTGAGTGGTGAGTCTTATGATTGGTTCGCTCACTCAGATGAGAAATAGGAACCTTCCTGTGGACCTGGATGCCTGGACAATGCCTAATTAGTGACCCCAAGGGTGCTTCCTGTGCAGTACCTGATATACCTGAACACTGAGTTCACATGGAAATACCCTTTCAGAGATTTCAAATATTTCCAGCCCTTATGGCAATTCTAAGAGATGAGAATTACCCCATGTTCTGTACTAATCAAAAAAGTTTGCTGGCATCTCCCTAATCCTGAAACTCTAGGCCAAGATGCCCAACTGGTAGATTGAATCGTGCACTGACTTCTTCTATATCCTCTTCCTGGTTCCTCCAGACAGGAGCAATCACAGGTTCCCCTGCTCCCAGAGCTTTCCATCCTCTTCTGAGCTAATATGGCTTCGAGCTGCAGCAAGGAATTAGCAGACACAGAACACAGAATCTGGCCCCAGAGGCTTATAAAAGAAAGAAGGAGACATCAAAGGCTGAAATCACTTCCTAGCATAGCCTTTCGTTCTTTCCTGCAGAGTCCGCACTGAAACCACACCCTTCCTGTGAGACCCCCATCCAAGAACCCTGAGGGCTCTTTCTCTCATTAGTAGTTACTGAACAGAGTGATGGATGTGGCACTGAACACGTACATGACAGTCCCTGCCCAGCAGCTTATAGTCCAAGATGGCATAGCACGGGGTCAGAGCCACTGAGGTCTAGAATGGGAGAGGTGTTAAATTAGCAGTAGTTTATAGGAGAGGAACTAACTTAGAGAAGTAAGTGAAGGGCCCAAAATTCCGCAGTGAAGTAGTAGCAGGATTAGGGCTGGAATCCAGTTCTTTTGACTTCCAGTCCAAAACTTTCTCTAATACAATATGTGTCAAATCACACGTATGTGTCTGTATTTATACTTATATATGTATGTATATGCCTAGGTGTGTGAAATTTACATTTGTAGAAGGCTTCATTTCACCCATATGCTCTAATCTGATTCTTACAATACCCCACCTGACAGGTAAGGGAGCTGAGGTTTGTCACACAGACAAATGGCAGCAACTGGATTCATATCCAGGCCTTCTGATTCCGGTACCCTCTTCTTCCAATTGCATGACATTGTTATTTGCTCTCAGCGGGCGTCACAAAATCCCTCTTCAGGACCCCTGTGGAATGAAATTCTTTTTCCTGTCTCTCTCCAACATTCTCAACAAAGCCATAACACAACTCCTCACCAATACGGTGACGACGTGAGGTACAAAACAGCATATCTGGAACATATAACATATTGGTGGCCAGTGAAAGTCACTTCAGTCACTCTTAAGGACAGCTTAGGCAGGACAGGGGCCAAGGTGTGGCCAGGGGAGTAATCCTGGAGGCAGGGACATAGAGTTGGATAAATAGGGGTGAGGCTTTTGCCCTTGGTTGGTGGGGAAACAGCTTATAAAATGGTGCCACCCTCTGACACCTTCTCCTCATCTTTCATGGTTTTGCATTTATGCAATTCTTATCATGTCTTTTTACCATAATCTTAACAAACGTCTTATGAACACATTATCTTAAAAATCTGAGGAGACTCCGCTTTTGAAGAACGTTCTTAGAAAGAGCAACCAGCTTCTTCCCCACCCGGCTTGAATTCTGAGCTGAGGAAAAGGAAGGCAGTGGGCCTTTACTGAGCGTTAGTTATATGTCAGGAACTTGACACAGGTTACCTCATTTATTCCTCTCCATAAGAGAAGTTTTACAGATGAGGAAACTGAGGCTCATAGAGATTATGTAATTTGCCTAAGGACACAGAGCCAGCAGTGGCAGAGCAGGGACTGATCTCTCAACCTGTTAGACTAAGGCATTTGGCCAGTTCCTTCCACGCAATACATGTGGTCTTCCTGACACTGGGCAGGCTCAGCTCCTAATCTCTTTGGCTCCAGAGAACCCTGAGCTGTCACAGTCACTGCTGAGGAGTCAGACCCTCTGCCAGAAATGATTTTGCAGGTCATTATTGAGTGGCAGTGGAAGACTTAAACATACTCTTTGTCCTCAGAAAATCAGACCCAGGATCAGAATTTTAGAGCTGGACGGGACCTTACCAAATATATAGCAACTCCTAAATTTTGCAGATGAGGAAAGTGAGGCCTAGGGATTAGAATTAAAGGATTTTCCTGGGTCATATGATTATTTAGTGAGCCAGAACCTAGTCTCTTGCCTAGGATGAAGACCATGAATTCAGCACACCAGTTATGAACTACTGGGCAGTGAAGAGAGAGGGGATAAAATACTCAAGAGAGTCCTGCTGATATAGGTAGGACTGAGAGGAAAGAAAAGTAGAGCAGAAAAAAGAGCCAGGATGTGAACCAAGACTGAAAATACAGATCTAAGGTGGGAAGGAGATGTAATAAGTGACTTCCCAGATTGCGTTTTGTTCCCATTGCACATACAGTTGGAAGCCAAATGCAAGCCACCAAGGTTGCAGTGAAGCAGTGAACAATTATAGTGCAAATAGTTGTGGGCAGCTGTGGGAGTGTAAGCCACCTGCTCCAAGTTTACAGCTTTGTTAAACTTGGTAAACATTAAAAATGGAATGGGAACACTCCCAGTCTGTACAGCATCCCATACCCTTCCTGGGAGGCCTTGCTCAGGAGCCGGGGTGGACTTGCCCTTGACTAGGCCCTTCTCACTGTGGCCTAGAGCTGCTTTCTGCTGGTAGAGGTCAGTGTTTTCAGCAGTAGAGACTGAGGGAGGTAGGGAGTATCACAGAATCATATATTTATAGAGTTTGAAGGGATCACAGAGCCCCCAGAATATAATTTCTTTCCTAATGTTCAGATAAGGAAACAGATCTAGAGAGGTGCTTGCCCAAAGTTATAAAGCTAGGGGCAGAAGTGACTCTTGATCTCTGAACTTTTGACTCTTTATCCAGTGCTCCTTCCTCTAAGTCCCACTATGTTTGTAGATGATGGCAGAGAGTTATAGCATTACAGAATGTTACAGCTGGAAGGGACATGGTTCTCAACTACCAGTGTTTTTGGTTGTTACATGACTAGGGGGGAGCAGGGACCAAGGGTGCTAAATAGCTTGAAATGTGATCATCCTGCATAATGAAGAACTGTCTTGCCCAGATAGTGAGAGTGCCCTGGTTGAGAAATGTTTTGTCCACCATTTGACTTTACAGTTGAGGAATCTAAGCCTAGAGACAGGGAGCAGTCCCCTGACTCCATCCCACCGAGCCCGAGTGAATGAGCAGCAACCTTGGTGCCTTCAGTAAATGGGCTCCCTCTCCTTCCAGCTCCTGCTGCATTTGCTCCTAAGCTATTTCCAGGCAGGCACTTACTTGGACTTCAGGCCCTCCTGTCCATAGGGCTGCAGCAGATACTGGTGCACCAGCTTGTCCCTGAGAGTCCCGGCCAGTTTGATTTTCTTTCTTGATCGGTGCAGGTTGATGATAAAAAGTGTAATGGACCCTCGAACATAGTTGTGGCTGAGATCCAGAGAGAGAGAAAAGGGAAAGATGGAAACAAAGTGGTCAGTTAGATGCTTCTAAATAATTTATAGACTACATGAAACAGGATTACCTCAGGAAAGGGCATTTATTTTATGGTTCTTGGCCACTCTAGACCTTCAGTGACAGGAAGGCCTTGTTCTTGTGGTTTCCTGCAAAGATACCCACTTCCCACCACACTCCTTTTGTTTGTGTGTGAATGTATTGCAATGATTTTAGAAAACAAAATATTTTTTTCTGAGTATGGAAGGAAAACATACTGATTGCAAAAAAAAAAAAGGAAAAATATAGAGAAACACAAAGAAGAAAAATAAAAATCTTTATAATCCTAGTATCTTCAGATATGATAATATTTTGGTAAACATCCTTCCAGTATTTTTTAGTTTATTAATTTGACAAATATTTATTGAGTATTTTGACACATGTGTGTATATTATGTATATTACTCAGTTTTTACATAATTGGGATCACACTGTTCACATAGTTTTTTCAGTTCATGAACATCTTAGGCATGTTCCCATGTTGTTATATATTCTTCTTGTAGAAAAATGCTAAAATCTTCAATCAGAAATGTAACATAATTTATTTAACTAAGCCCCTACTTTTGGGGACTTATGTTGTTTTCAATTTTTTTGCCATTATAAATTATGTGATGGACTTCATTGTACATAAACTTTTTGCACATCATGATTATTTCTGATGGATAAAGTCCTGGAAGTTGGAAACATTAGGTCAAGGGGACACACATCGTATGATTCATCACCAAATCTAGTTCATTCCCAGTGCTGCTCCTCCCTGTGGAAAGATTTTATGTCCCAGGCTCTGTGGAACCCTGGAGTGATCACGTGACTGGCTTTGGCCAATGAGATGTGGATGGGCATGTTAAAAATCTCTGGGCAGAAGCTTTAAGAGGCAGCTCATGTTTTGTCACGTCTCTTTTCCCTCAGCCAGAAGACAGACAACATTCTCGACAGAGGCTGCTCTATTGATCTGCATCCTGGAATGAAGATGATGTTAAGCACAGCTCCTGCTGAGCCATAACAGACAAGTATTATGAATGAGAAATAAATTTTCTTATTGAAAGCCATGGAGATTTGGAGGTTCTTTGTTATCACAGCCTATCTTGACTGATACACACATTTTGATAATATTGACATTAACTCTCTAGAATGCTTGTACTAGTCTCACCGACTAGGAACTGAGGAACTCAAGGTGGGTTTGGAAGCATTTAACTGTTTTTCCAAATTGTTTTCTTCCCTTTTTGTTATGTTAAGGAGATGCAACCACCAACCACCCTGAACCAAGCCTCACCACAAGAGTTATGCCCATGACCTTTGCCTTATTTTTAATGCTAAGATCTCTCCAGGAGGAGCTTAGGCCTTATCACTGCAATCTGCAGTGTATGTGAAAGCATGTTTTCTAACTGAGCCTGCCCAACTGAATACCTGCCTCTCCCTTTTGAATATTCATTCCCCATCCGAAATAAAAGGTCCTTGCTTTCCTTTGTTCAGGGACGCCATGACTTTGGAAATGATTCCTCATGGTCTCCTGTTTGCTGCAAATATACTTTGTGAGACAGCTTCCACTGGTGTAGAGTCTTATTTAACTTGCCAGGAGGCAAACCCACTTGGTTCGGTAACACTAATTTGCTCTGATCAAAATATCTTTCTCAACCTGAGAGGGGATAATGGGATTTCAATGTTGTATTAATTTGTATTTTGGAAAAATTCATACTGAGGTGCATTTTTTCATTTGCTTATTTGCCATTTCATTTCTTTTTTTGTAAACTGGCTGCTCATGTCTTTGCCCATTTTTCTATTGATTTATAAAAACTATTTATTTATTAAAGATAGTGATCCTTTGTCTGCATGTATGTTGCAAAATTTCCCCCAGTTTTCTTTGACCAATTCAGTTAGTTTACATTGTATTCTGATGTATAAAAGTCAAAAACTTTTATGTGATCAAATTTATCAATCTTTTTGATTTCTGCTTTGGCTGTTTTACCTACCACAAGATTATAAAAACTATTTTTGGAATATTACTAAAACTATTTTTGGAATCCTTTTAAACCAGCACAGAATGTTCAGAAGCCTGGAAGAACTATATGCCTACATGCAAGAGCCTTTCAGCATGTATCAACAAAACTATAATGATTTCCTTCTCTCGCATAGGAAAAAAGACTTTGTTTCTAAGGGGTCCCTTAGGGCCCCACCTGGATGGGTTAATGAGAGGAAACAGAAAAACTGACCCAGTCCTGCCTTCAAAGGAGGAGTTCAGAGAAACTCCAAGTCAACTTTGCCCAGAGGAAAACATCATTCCTTGCAGAAATAGCACCCCTCAGCCTCTGGGTCACTCATCTCTGCTTCTAAAGGCGCTAATTAAGAGTTGAGTGACCAAGGGCAGGTCAATATCATAACTTGAGTTGTTTGTTTGTTTTTTAAATAATACCATTTCCAGGGCTCATCCCTTGGAGATTTTGATTCAGTCCATTTGGAATTGGGCCCTGGCAATCTGTATTTTTAAAAACATCTTTCTGAGATATTTTGGCAGATGAGTTGGGTTTGGGAACCACTTGCCTAGAGCAATCCATTAAGGTTATGAGAAGACTTCCTAAAGTATATCTGCTGGTTGTGTGTCAGATGATTTTTCTTGCATCTGTAGAGGGCACATTATTGTGTTCAAGGCTCTTTGGATGCCTGCATTTATTTATTTATTTTGTTGTGAGGAAGATTAGCCCTGAGCTAACATCCGATGCCAATTCTCCTCTTTTTGCTGAGGAAGATTGGCCTTGGGCTAACATCTGTGCCCATCTTCCTCTACTTTATTTATTTATTTATTTTTGTGAGGAAGATCCTCCCTGAGCTAACATCTGCCAATCCTCCTCTTTTTGCTGAGGAAGACTGGCCCTGGGCTAACATCCATGCCCATCTTCCTCCACTTTATATGGGACGCCGCCACAGCATGGCTTGACAAGCGGTGCATCGGTGCACGCCTGGGATCCGAACCAGCGAACCACCCCAGCGGAGCACGCGCACTTAACCACTTGTGCCACCGGGCCAGCCCCCATCTCTCTCTACTTTATATGGGACGCCACCACAGCATGACTTGACAAGCAGTGTGTTGGTCCGCGTCTCGGATCCAAACCAGCAAACCCCGGGACGCCAAAGCAGAGCACGTGATCTTAACCGCTATGCCACCAGGCCGGCCCCTGGATGCCTGCATTTATATTCTGATAAATTACTAAATGACTCTTTTATCTGGTCCCTCCTCCTCTGGTCCTTCTTCTCTATCCCCTGAAGCATGTGAACTAGCTTTTGGAGCCAAATAAGTTAGCTCAGAAGAGAATGCCAATTTATTTGCGCAGACTTGTATCACCAGAGCTCTGAAAAAGGATGCTGCTAGCCTGTGTCAGTGTTTACTATCATTAAAGAATACTGACTATACTCCATTGGTGGGCTTTAAGCTTAGCTTAGCTGTGTGCAAAATTGAGGAAGACACCATTATATACAGGTACTCTGGGCTCAGAGTGTGAGCAAAAGTGGGCATGGATAGATACCAATTTTACCAGGCTGCGGTAAACCCTGTGGCTAACTACCATCAAACAGCCTTCACAAAGGCCAGCAGTGGAGGAGGAGAGAGCTGTGTGCTTGCATTTATGAGTTTCTCCTCTGCAGAGCTGGGGCAGAATGAGCCCTCAGAGACTGCAGAGGAGAAGGATGGGATGTGGGGATGTGGTGGGTTGGAGGGAGACCTGAAATCACAGCATTGCTGCAGGGAAAGCTGTCTTTTCAAGCTGCTTGGCAATGGTCTGATTTCCATTTACATAGTTCCCCTGGGGGGAGACAAACCAGTACTGAAACCCAGCCCAGAGACCAGCATGCAGAGGCTCTCACAGAACTCCTGGTGCCTCCTCAGGTAGGAACTGGCATTGAAGACCGCCTCAGCCATCCCTTTCCCTGACTTGCTGATGGGCAAGGACGTTAAGCAGAGGCCTTTTGGCTATGAAGACACATTCTTGGCTGGAGCGTAGCACCAACCTGAAAGTACTGTGTTGAGAATCCAGATTCCTGAAGAATGTATTTTCTCTGCCCACAGAAAAATAATCTTGGAGGAGTATCTGAAAATGGGGTCTGAAGGCGTGACCTGCAAGCAATTGCTGACCTTCTGATGTCATCAAGTCCAGGTGGCCTTTGGTTTTTTTAGTGAACGCCCCTTTCCATCTGGTAGAACATCTATCTTGCTCCATGTCTCACTCATGGTGAGACTTTTTCACCAGCAGAGAGTCCATGAATCTGGAGTTCATCTTTCTGGCTGTTCTTTTGCTGCCTGATGTCTTTCTTTTCTTGTGTTGCCATGGGAGGAGGATGAAGTGAGTCAGGGAAGAGAGGCTGGAATTGAAATATCCTGGATGTAAGAGGTGGAGGATGTCACATGGGGACGTGCATCTTGACTTCCAGATAAAAAACAGTCACTGTTCTAGAAATGTCTCCAGTGAAGCTGAGAGACTAGGAAAGGGAAGGGAGGACGATGCTTTGGAATCCATAGTCATTCCCAGTGAAAGTCAATGTGCTTGAAAACTGGGTTGGTCCATTGTCTCCAAATATAATTCAAAGTTTTGGGTTCGGTAAAACTCAGGCCATATTTTGCCAAACATTTTTTCTCCTAATTTCAAAGCCCATGTGTATTTTAAGGGAAATTTAATCCACATGTTTCTGATTCATTTACACTTAACTCATCAAAATATTGTTTTGTAAGAACGATTTGATGTCCAAGAAGCCTCAGGAACCTATTTTATGAGTCTTTAAAAAAAACTTCTTCTGAAAAACAGGAAGTCATGTTTTGCCAATAATAAACGAACTTGAACCCCAAAAGGCTCAGCTTTGCTTCAGTATCCACCAGATTCCAGTTGGTTTTGAACTCGGCTAAGGACCTCAGCTCCTCCCCAGAAACATATATTGTCTTAGCAGAATGGTTTATAAAAAGAAGATTTCCCAGTCAAAACTTATTTGTTCTCTGAATAGGAAGACTTAGGGTGAGAACTGCCATGCTGCCAGTGTCTTAATTTGTTAATTCTAGAACAGAAAGCAGAGAAGCACCTGCTGGTTTTGGTATGAGTATCTAACTTTTTTTCCTAAATCAATTATAAAAGACAACACCTACTGGGTCAGAAATGACCCACAATGCAAGAGACTGCCACAGGAGGCAGTGAGGTATTCCAGTAGAGGTTGCATGACTGTCAGGGAGATGGTGAAAGGAATTTCTGTGTTGTAGGGACACTGGGCCAAAAGATCTCTAAGGGTTCTTTCAAATGTAAAATTCTTTGCATTATTAATGTAGTTATTTGTATACAGGGTGATACCATAGAACTTTCAGAATTCAATATGATAATATAATTGCAAATCTCTGGCAAGATGCTTGTCACATAGCAAGTGTTCAGTATACACTGGAGTGCAAAGTTGTTTTAATAGACACTTTCTTTGGGTTGTTCTACTGGTAAGTTTATACTTTCTCACCCCATCCCTGTTTCGACCAAGGATATATGTTTTCAGAGTATTGGTCAGAATAGTGTGAAGCCAACATGCCCACTCTGGGACATTTCTGTGACCTTGGCTTCATTGGCCACAAATAAACTAAGTGAACAGTAGTGCTTCCTCACGACTGTTGTGGAGGATGAGAGGGCACAGACTGGGCACATGGTTTCCCCAAAAGAAGGAGCAGAGACACTTCTCCTATCCTTGTGCCTACCTATCTGGGGCACCTGACACCCACTGACAGGGTGGAGCCAGCTCAGTGCATCCATTTTGGGCTTTCTTTCCTAATAAGAACAAAAAGACCTTCACTCCAATTATTATCGTTAAAGTCATATGTGGAATGAATTAGTAAAGTCTTCTCTTTCCTTTTTTTAATGGGGAGAAGGAGGGATGATACTGATAGAAGCACAGTGGCACCATTTCCCCAGGGAGATTCTGGAGCAACTTCCAAAAGAAAGGAGAGGAGAGCTGGTGATGTACAGAGAATGTTGAATCCAGATTATTTTAGTAACTTGTTTAAGGTCTCATGCTAGTGAATGGCAGAATTCTTAACCACTCCGCCACACCCCCTCCTTCTGGCTGATGTGGTGATATCAAAGGGGAAGAGGGCTAGAACTGTAAATCATCAGTGATGTCTTGATATCCTATCTCTGCATTCATTTATTCATTCACTCATCAAACATTCACTGAGACCTTCTTCATGCCAGTCACTATATTAGACACCAAGAATACAAAAACAAATGAGACACCAGCCTCGAGTTCATGGTATACTCAAAATATTAGAGACAATTTCCCACAAGAATGTCAAAGAATGTCAGGATGAACACTGGGATGAGACTATATGAGCCCACTGTGAGGACACCCAAATCCTACTAAGCCCATGGCTACTATTTTTTTCCTGGGTCCTCAGACTGATAGTACAAGGGCCACAAACTGATGTCCTTCCCAACAGAGACAAAAGGTGCCAAGAGTAATTTTTCTCTCCTGAAGCTGGGGGTCTACCTTTTGGGTGGTTACCTCAGGGACAGGGCAGAGACAAGGAATACAATGTTTCCTTGTGTTGTGATCAGATAGCTCCAGCCAAGGCCATAAAGCAGTCACTCTCTGTCAGGTATTGGATTGAGCTTCCTGTTGAGCAAAAGGGACGTTGAAAGCCTCTGGCTTCTGCCCAAACCAGCCTCCTCTCATCCACAATAGGCACTTGTATCTAAAGACAAGACAACAGGGCCCTTGCCTCCCTATGCTCAGAGTGATTCTTTGAAAAATCTTATCATGATAAATTAGTTGGCTTGGCTCCTCTCTCATCAAGGAAGGGGAATGAGCGTCTGTTGTAACCTGACCACCAGAGCTCTTTGTGCTCCACAGCCCGGTGATCAGCCCCTGATAGGCGGCTGGAATGAAGGCCTGGCTGGAGGTGCTTACTTCCTTCTCCCCCACCTCATCCCGCCAGGGTTTCTCTGCATTTAAAGAAAGAGTTTTCTCTTCCAGAGCTGCCTACTCTGCTCCTTAAATAGGAAGTGATGTAAGAAACCATATTTGGTCCGATGCGTTTTGCTTTACGCTCAGTTTTAAGTATTTACTTTATGATCCTCATGTTTTAAAATATTTTATCTGCCAAACTTTATTTATTTACTGATAATTATTTTTCCTGTTTGTTTAATGATAATTCTAATGACAACCAGTACTTCAGATCAAAAAGAGAAGAATAACCATACATTACCCCGCTGATTATTCTAAGACCAGCCCCCTAAAAAAGGAAGCCTAGATTGTATTTAACCTCTTAACCTCTAAAACAGCTGAAAGATTTTTGGAATACTGAAGATGGCTCTAAAGCTGGCATGACTACTTTTGGGCACTCTCAGCTTGGGACACACTGGTCTATAGCCAGGTTTCTAGTGGTACAGCTCTCTGGCATGCGTGTTAGAAATGTAGACTTATTTCCTCAAGCTCTGCTGGCGGATCATAGGAACAGATTTTATATCTCTAGCCTTGGTTCAGGTGTAGGCACACAAAAAAGTGTGGTGGGCATTATGTCAACTGGCACAGAGAAAATGCTCAATAAAAATTTGTTGAATGAAGAAGTAAATGAACAAATGGCATGTATTTTGATGAACGTTTTATGGATAAATCCTCTAAGTGTGAGAAAGAGGGTTTACCTGGAGAACAAGCTATTTATCAGAGATCATTTGAAACCTGCCAAGAGCAGGTATAGTGATTCCAGAAGCAGTTATCAATTAGTCTTGAACGGGTCCCAAATGGTATGGAATTCTAAGAGGGCCCGGAAGCCTGCAGCCCCTCGGGGATGGTTTTCTGTGCCATCTCTGTGAAGACTTACTTGTGGTGGTTTGTGCAGTGAGCATAAATCCTTAGTTTGTCCCGGATCACTCGGCCTGGCCGTGGCTTCCGCTGGAGCCCAGCAACATGCACCGCCAAGACTTTGGGGCCTATCAGGCGCTTGTAAAGGAGAGAGAGCCAGTAGTCCTGAGGAAAACAGAGAGGCAGAATCAGAGAAAGACGCACGTTCAGGTGCAGTGCTCTGAGTAAACACACAAACACATAGGCCAGAAACCACTTCTTACCAGGAGCACAGTGAATCACGACCAACTAGACCCTAACCCTGTAACCACAGTCACCCCAATGAAGCGCTCACCCTGGGTTGACAGTGAAGTGGGCATTGTCTAAAGATGCCTTTTCAATTGGCCAAATGGGAAAATGTAAGTAGGGTGGACCCAGAGCAGTATACAAAGAAATGAAGCAAAGTTTTTCACATGTGAAATAACAACCAGTTGGGGCCTTAAATTTCCAACTTTCTTTTCCTATGACTTTACTTTCATACTGGTTTATGGTTTCTGTTTAATCGTAGAATGGAAGATTTCCAATCTTGAGGACTGTCATCAATATGAGAATCCAAAATGTCATTCTCTAAATGTTGTCACTAAAGACCATTAGTGCGGTGGGAGGGAGATGAAGCTCCTCTGGGCAGGAGAGCAGAGTTCTGGATTCCAGAGTCAGAAATGCAAAAGGAAGAATATTTGCAAACCATGGTACTAATTCTTGGTCATCCTCTAATTCTGAAATAAAAAGAATAATTCTAAACTAAAAAGAATGTGATGCTTTTAACCATTCCAGGGTCCATGTGTAACTGATTAATAAATATTCAATCTGTAACCCCCATATGTATTTGAATTTACAAAAGCCTATTCACCACCACCTTAGTTTGTATTGTATTTGCTATTATCATATTTTGTTTTTGCATTTGATACAAATATAAAATTTGCATTTGTATTGTGTAAGCTTTTATCACCTATTATGGGTAATGACTGCAGTGTTTATAACTCACCATGTAAAATAGGGCTTCTTAACTTGTTTAGGGGCTTCCCCAACTCTTCCCCTCCCCAGTTCTGGAATTCAGTGAACATACTCTTCAGTGCATGCTACTAAAGGTCTTAAAGACATCAACTATGTCTTCTCAGCCTTCATCTTTCCAGGCAGAAGCCTCTTAATGATCTTTTTTTTTTTTCTTGTGTGGCCATCTATAACATCAGCTGCTTTAAAATGTCTGCTGAATTGCATAAATCCAAACAAAGTCTCAAAGCCCCTTTGCCACTAGCATAGCTCCAAATCTGTCCTGCACGGGGTGGGTGGGTGGGGCGGGGCTCTAGGCCTTGCCTGAGCATTTACCTCAACTAACTTTAAGTGGCCTTAGTGTCACTGTTAAATATGGTCTCCTGATATTTAAAATGGCAAATATTTCATTATTGTCAATCACATAGATGAAAACATCTCATTGGTTTTATTTGCTCTTATTTGATTACAATGTCTGTTTTCTTGATTACTACTTCATGAAGTGATTATCATGTCACCCATATTTCCAATGTCACGTCCACCTTTTTCTTACTGATTTGTAACATATCTTTTAGTGTTAGTAATAAGAATCCTTTGGAATGTATATGGAATAAGTATTCTGTCCAAATTTGTAGTTTGCCTTTTATCACTTTTTATGATTTTTTTTGGTTAAATATGGTCTCCTGATGTTTAAAAGTTTTTTTAATTTTTAAAATTGTTACAAGAAAATAAATCAATCTTTTTCTTTTGGTTTCTTCCTTTTCTTTTATTCTTAGAAAGTTCTTCCTTGCACAAGGATCAGATAAATCTTCACTTACATTTCTTCTAGTTCTTTTTATATTATCATTTTAAAATTTAATCATTTAATTCATTGAAAAATATTTTGGTATATGATACTGTTATTTTCTAAATAATTTACTAGTTGCTATAGTGAACAACCTATCCCCAAGCCCATCATTATCACATACTAAGTTGTATATACATATATGTATGTAAATATATATTTATATAACATATGTATAATATATATTATAAATAATATATAATATATGTATAATATATATTATAAGTAATATATATTGTAATTAATATATTATATAATTATATTTAT